GAGACCAAGCCTCAATCTACTATTCAAAATATCCCAAATGACCTAAAGTCAAACTTGGTCAAAACCAATGATCAACGGTCCAAAGTCAAAGTCAACTCAGCTGGTCGTCACGACGTGGCCATCCCTGGCCACGTTGTGACAACAAAGCGACAAAACAGACGACTCTAGCCCAGTCACCATGTCGTGGCGACCTAAGGCCACACTATGGGCACTGGGTTCCAAACAGCTTAATCGGTTAAGCCGTTTTCTTCGATTATAGGAGCTCCAAAGCTCAGATCTGCTCCATTCCATTGGCTAAATGGATAAAGTTTTCTACTTTATCCCTTAAGACGTTCCAAGAGGTAAAGATCTCACCCTAGGTCCAAAAGGGGGTGGAAACACATCATGTCTTAATCATTAAGCACTTAATCTTGAAGATCTCATGACCCACGATTCCAAAAGGGTTTCTAGTACCAAAACTGTCATAAAAATCCATGTTTTTCAGACATGCATGTCCAATGCATGTCTTGAACTTTTATTAGGTCAAAACTAAGGGTTTATGACCAAGATTCCATGCATGACACCAAAGCTTACTTATAAATTAGATCCAAGGCACCAAATACTCTAAGTGACTGAAGGTTCATAAAGTTAGGGGTGAACAAAAACCGAACCGCAAATCGAAAAAACCGCATAAACCGAAAACGAAAAACCAAAACCGAATGAAAACCGACGGTGCGGTTTTTAGTTTTGAAAAAACCGAAAATGTTCGGTGCGGTGCGGTTTCTATTCTTGCAAAAACCGCAAAATACCGAACAACACCGAATATATATATATATATATATATATATATATATATATATATATATATATATATATATATATATTAAGTGTTGATATTTGTAAGAACGAAGAACTCATGACAATTAAAATTTCTATAAATATAAATATCTATCTTATCATAGGATGATTTTATATTTTTAAGCATACATATATTGATATTTACAAGAACAAATAATGTTTATTATATTTTTAACATTTTAATATTAAGAGTACTAATGATGATAATATCATTTTTATGAATACATTAATTGATATCATCGTATGTATCTGTGAAACAAATATTATATTTAATTCGTATTATATTCAAGCATTAGAAACATGTTGGATGAGTGATTATGTTATTTGATTTTCAAACCAATAGATGGTGGTATCGGTTCATCTCCAAGATATCATTTGGGCTTTAATTTTGTCTGCCTTATAAGAGTATCCATCATCGCATTTAAGATAAAACCTTCACTATTTTCACATTTCATATAAGAGAGTCAAGTCTATGGCTTTTAACCCACATCTTTGAGGAGTCGCACATTGTTGGGGATGAAAATTTTGGCGCTCCTCATTTCTACATAAAGTTTCTCAAAGAATGATTAACACTTCTCATCCGAGTTAAAGTAACTTGTTGAGTTACCTGAGTTTTAGTAAAAAGGCAAAACAAAAACCAAATAAAAAAAAACTGACAAAAAACTATACCGCAAAAAACCGAAAAAAACCGCAAAAAAACGAACCGTATAAAAACCGAACGGTGCGGTTTCTAAACTTTAAAAAACCGAAGTTGCGGTTTTCGGTTCGGTTTTGGCCAAAAACCGCACCAAACCGCACCATGCTCACCCCTACATAAAGTTGCAAACTTTATGAGCTGTCATCACTCAAATCTATCAAGACATGAAGAAAAGGGACAAAATCAAGCGATCTAACAACCTATCAAGAAAATGGTTGGATCTTGGACACTCACTAATAGAGATGGCAACTGGGGCGGGGAATACAGGGACCCCAATCCCCATCCCCAGCCCTACCGGAGAATATAAATAAACCCTCATCCCCACCCCCAATGGGGACTGGAACGGGGAATCAGAGATTTCTTTTCCTCTTTTAGGAGGAAAACTTTTTTCATAAAGAAAAACTATAAATTTCAATTTTTCAAGCATAAGTTTAAATATTTTACAAAATATAAAAAAATCCTTATATTGCATAAAAAAATATAAACAAATTTTCTACAAAATTTAAATAAATACATGAAAAATCAAGTAGAAAAAATTTATCAGAGTTATATTTGAGGTAAAAAAGATAAACCAGATAGAAAAAAAAAATTATACACGAGTTTAAGTTAGATAAAAGAAAAATAAAATGTATAATTTCAACCAAGTAATTACTAATGAGTTAGGTTACTTGGATCAAATTTTATGTAGTGTAAATTTTACTATAAATATATGTTTTGTATTATATATATATATATATATATATATATATATATATATATATATATATATATATATATATATATATATATATCGGGGGCAGGTCCAGGGTCGGGGATTAGGGGTATCCCAATCCCCACTTTTTTATTCAGGGATTCCCCATCCTCGTCCCCATCCCCAGTCAACTTGGGGATTCCCCAGTCAAAACAGATGCGAGTTTCGGGTTCCCCATCCGGTATGGGGCTTTTTGTCATCCCTACTCACCAAGGTCCAAGAGATGTGCTAGCTGAAGTAGATGATGCTTGCCAAGTAAACTATCACACCAAGGGCTTCCTTCTTCTTCAAAGATCACCAAAAAGCACCAAGAATGAGTTCACAATTGCAATTGTGGCTAGGGTTAGGGTTTCTGGGTTTGACAGGGTGATGGAGGCTGAATGATCACGAAACTCTAGTCTTAATGTTCTTTAAATAGCGCCCAAAGCCCAAAATTAAGGGTTGTCACTAAAAACACATGCCACACCGTGACACCTATGGCCACATTGTGGCCGGTCATTTAATCTCGCGGTCCAAAACATTCCGCCACGTAGTGGTGATGCTCCACCACGCCTGGCCACCCAAATTAAAGTTAATATATAAAAATTGATTCATACTTAAATCAGATGTTACAATTTGGTAACGTGCTAGATTGATGGTAACGGTCGCTTGGTTGATATTACAACAAATTGTAAATATAGTGACATAATTGAGAAAAAAATATAGTATCAAAATTGCAAGTTTGGTAAACATAGTGACTTTATTGCAATTCGGAAAAAATAGTTATCGGGAAACATGTAGCCATAATATAGAAAATTTTTACTATTTGCCCTTATAATATATATTGTAAAATACATTAGTTTGTAACTTTGTAATGGTAGTAGTTTGATAATTAAAATATTACAAAATATTTGCCCTCTTTTTCCAATTTTTTCGAATTTAGAAAGAAAGGTCAAAATTCCGGAGAAAATTTATCCACACAATTTCCATGTTCCTTTATTTTTTATCGTAAAACTCTCCACCAAAAAGTTTGTTAATTTTACATTTTTCAATTTTATTTTGTAATCGTGCAAAATAACAACGTATCTTTTTTTTATTAGTATGGGCAACTAGATATAATGGAACAGATTTTGACCCTATCCAAACCTTTGAAGTATAATTTTTGATTCGTTTACCTATTAATGACACATATCCGCTAATCCTTTTATTAAAAGGGCTGAGTATGGATCATTACCAATCCGTTCCATTTATAACATGTCCCATATAAATTTTCGAATTATATATTTATATTTTATATTGTATATCGTTTATTTTTAATTCTAATCGAAAGTCTAAAGGGAAAAGGTCAAACTGTGTTTACCTAGGGCTCGAGGAGTCGACATCCAGACTTCCAGTGTTCTGCTAAGAATCATGGTTTCATTCCGATGAGATAGTCACTACGATGAGAGCATAGTGGTTGAGGAATGAAATTCCATACATGAAGCCCAAAGTTTAAACCATGTCACATACATACACAAAATATTACTGGTGTTCTACTATTGACCTTCCATGTGAGCCGTTCAGAGGGTGCAATTTACCTTTTTAAAAATAGGTAAAATTTATGATGATCGATCAACTTCTCATATATTTTGAGGTGTTTACACCATCTACGAAAAAAATGGCATCCAATAGCCTCATCAGTGAGTCATTTACCGTTGACCATGGATTAACTTGTTAAAGTCAGATTTACCAAATGAAATGTCAATTGGATTTTACTATAAACCGAAGAAAATATACACACCAAAATATGTTATTATATATCAAAATTTATCGCAACATAAGGGATCAAAATATTGAGTCATTGACCAATTAAAAGTTAACACAAGATGCAAGGATCCAAGTGTCAAAAGTCATTTGTCTCCACCACTTAGTTTTGGAACCACACTAGTTGGTGGTCCATCTTTAGCATCTTCCCAACTTTTATAACAAATTTGAGCACCATTATCCTTCCAAATATGTTGACATCATTTATATGTGTGCCAAATATAATTATTTTGTCTCTACACAATAACAATATTGCAACATTAAAGACTTTAAAACCAACAACCAAAACAGTTAAATTACTTTCATATAATACTTTTTACATGATCATAACTTAGAAATATATAATATCTAATATCACCAATATCCATTTTTATCAATAAAATTGCTCCAATTTTTTCTATATAGTGAAGTGGTATTTAAAATATTTTACCCATAATTATCACTTTTATTAGAATATATGTTAAAATAAAAACCTTTATTGCTCTTTACTAGTTTTTTTTATTTAATTATATTATATGTTTTATTAAAAGTAATATAAATTAAATACTTAATTAATAATCAACTTTTGTTAGATATGATGAAAAAGTATATATTAACAAACTTGAACTACCTTTTGTATTTATTATTTTATTTCTGGTGCTCTTGAACTCAGTCTGAAAAGTACGGAGGACACAGATTGGCTCTCATGAAGGATCATCGCTTCCAAGGCAAGTACCAATATTTTACCTAAAACCCTAATAGCCCCACATTTCTCAATTCTCACCCACCATTTTTCTCAAATCATAATGTTCTTCATCCACTTTTTGTCACTTTGATCCTAATTCGTTATATAAAAGTGAGTTTTACTGAAAAGGTTAACAGAAAATCTTCAGAAAGTGGATTATGTTTTGTGTTTAAACGTTTTGGGAGACTAAGTAGAAGCTGGATTCTACAATGGCGTCGAGGCAAGGTGGCATAAAACCTCGGAAATCGACTTCCAAGTATGCGAATTCGCCGTCTTCATCAACGACTTCGTCTACGAAACAGTTTCATGAAGCGTTAGGTGATAATCTGAGTTCTCCAGCTTCATCAGCTAGAAGCAAGCTACAGCATGGTTACTCGGAGAGTTTGCCGTTGAGTTCAGAGAGATCGAAAGAGAATGTCACTGTGACTGTCCCGGTTCCGGCCTCTCAGGTGATCAAATTGGGTCAAATTTTATATTATTTGATTACGTTGTGGTTAATTTGGATTATAAGTGATTTTGTTTTCGTTGTGGATAGTCCGAGGGAAATACGGCAAGGGGAGGAAATTGCGTGGTATGCGGACGGAGAAACAATTGTGAGGAATGAGCATACTCCGGCGACAGCTTATGCATATGGTATGGTACATTATGCTGAAACATACTTATTGGTGCAGTATTTGGGATCTCGGAGTCGTACTTAAGAGTAATCTCCAATTAGCTAACTTGAATCGACGACAAATTCATATCATAGAACTCGGCTCCATGCTACCAATCACTACTCTGGTGTTATTGAAATCAGCTGAAACTTAGGATCTAATAATTGCCAAGGATATATTTGTTCTTGGAGTTAGATTATTTTTGGTTGACTTTCCAAGGTTAACTGACAAATGCACCTTCCATGGTTTTCTGTGTACAAACCTGAGAAAGTCATAACTTGAATTTAACTTTCCACTTTTGTGAGAGTGCTTTATAAAATGGCATTAATAAGCCTTATTCACTGTACCTGAGTGATTGGTTGCTATGGTGGAACTTCCTGTCTCATTTATAGTTAGAAACTGTTAATGGGAAGTGAGCTGACTGCTTTCTTTCCTGTGTAACTTTACACAAGACTATAAGGTGACCTGAGCTACTCTGACTTGGATTGAGATATTGCTAGATTCAAATTCAAAACAAATACAAGTGATATGTAGTCATTGTCTCTGTGTTTGAAATACAAATGACCAGTTTATATTTTTTGGTGTCTTCTACTTGTTAGTGTCACTAGCTTAAGGCCTTTTACTGTAGAGCTTGGGACATGCCCAACTTGTCAATGTCAGGCAAGCTTATTTGAAGCTCAAAAAGGTGATATTTATTGATTAAAAAGTTCCCTTCCCCTGTAACTTAGAGATTGACTGATTGAGCACACACTGAAGGACATGAACATGTTTGTGAAAACTTTATTGTCAATTTGGGTATGTTTTAAGCATCTGAGTTTTTATCCTCAACCGAAACTTAGGATCTAAATTCCATGTCTTTTGCATTAGTCCTACAATAATCCACTTTCTCATTACAATCTTTCTTTTAGAGAGGATTCCTATGCAAAGTGCGTATTTGATATTACAAATAACATTTAAGCCTTGGATATCTTGATTCACATCATAACTCTCATCCTTTATTATATGTAGATCGGGTGTTTGGGCCTACCACAACAACACGTCATGTATATGATATTGCAGCTCATCATGTTGTTGGTGGAGCTATGGAAGGTGTTAATGGTATGTTATTTATAAATCTTATGCAGTTTATTTGTTCTAATAAATCCTTAAAGGTTAAAGATATTACCATTTTTTCTATACACATGATCTTGACTTACTTCAATACCAGGGACTATTTTTGCATATGGTGTTACAAGTAGTGGGAAGACTCACACTATGCATGTAAGTACACACTTTGTTTTGTTTCTGTAATTTTGTTGCATTTAAATGTATTTGTTTTGATTATTTTTTGTCATACACATAAGCCAGGGAGATCAGAGGTCTCCAGGAATTATCCCATTGGCAGTAAAAGATGCTTTCAGTATAATTCAAGAGGTATATGAAGCTAAACTTTTGATACCATTTATACAAAATGTCAAAAATATATTATTTCAAGAGGAAAAAAAATCTGATATTCTTCATATATTTTCAGACTCCTAGTCGTGAATTTCTCCTTCGTGTCTCATATTTGGAAATTTATAACGAGGTATGTTTCTGAACAATCTTTTCACAGGTGCTTTTTTATTTGATAATTATGTCTAAGTCTCTAAGATTAACACCATTTAGAATTTTCATCTTTTTATCTCTTTCCATAGTTGTTTCTTTGTATTTTCTGTTTTTACTTGTAGTTGACCTTCGTTAATCAATTTATAGCTTCTTCATGTCTTTATCTTGATTCCTTTGTTATCATTTTAGTTTTGACCATTTATTACAGATGCATGAGTGTTATTTTTTTATGTAATATTGTCCTCTTAAATCTCATGTTTTTTGCAGGTTGTTAACGATTTGTTGAATCCAGCAGGACAAAATTTAAGAATAAGGGAGGATAATCAGGTATTTTATGTATATCATTATTCAAGATCACATGTTAATATGTTATTTGTCCTATTTTATTCATAATTCCATATAAAATGCCTTTTTTTTGGTCTTCAATACCATATGTTTTATATCTATGAAAATCTTACCAATTCTAAATAAAAGTACACTATAATTATTGGTTTTGTAGGGAACCTTTGTTGAAGGTATAAAGGAAGAAGTTGTGTTATCTCCTGCTCATGCCCTTTCTCTCATTGCAGCAGGAGAAGGTTTGTCTTTTCTATGTTTTACTCATACATTTAATCATTTTCTAGGTTATATATTATGAAATAGTTTTTACCCATTATTAGTTAACATTTTTTTTACATGATTTATTTACTTAGTGAATGTAATTGATCTTCCATTCTTGTGATCTTTTGCTATCACAGAGCACAGACATGTGGGTTCAACAAATTTTAATTTACTCAGCAGCAGAAGTCATACAATATTTACATTGGTAACTTTCTGATTGGATAAAAATAATTCATTTTTTTGGGTTAAAAATTTCTTTTGTTAATATTTTTACCTTCCAACAGACAATAGAGAGTAGCCCTTGTGGTGAAAATGGTGATGGTGGGGATGTTAACTTGTCACAATTGGTATGCATCTGAATTAGCCTAAATAATTTATAGTTATTCACTTGTTGACTTTTTTTTTTTTTTAATTCATCTCAAATTGCAGAACCTCATAGATTTAGCAGGTTCTGAGAGCTCAAAAGCTGAGACTACAGGTGTTCGTAGAAAAGAAGGATCTTATATAAATAAAAGTCTGCTAACCCTTGGAACTGTGAGGCCTCAATCATTGCCATTATTTTATCAGTGTAATAGTTTGCTCTACAAACAAATATCTACTTTTAGTCATGTTAATTGTCACAAAAGGAAATAAATAGGTTACCATTGCATGAATTTATCATGCCATTTATATTTCTTTTAGCATTTATAATTCCAAATTGTCACAGGTTATATCAAAATTAACAGATGCAAGATCAGCTCATGTGCCATATAGAGACTCAAAGTTAACTAGGCTCCTTCAATCTTCATTAAGTGGACATGGAAGAGTATCTGTAAGTTTTAAATCAACCAATTATGAAATATGATTATGAACAAATAATAATTTTATTTCACATCCTTTTTTTTAGCTTATTTGCACTGTTTACTCCCTCATCAAGCAATCAGAGGAGACACATAACACATTAAAATTCGCGGCATCGTGCAAACATATAGAGAAATTCAAACAGCACAAAATAAGGTATGCCATTACACATTAAATTAAATCTTTGGTGCTTTCAAAGTAATATTTGTGACACTATTTTAATTTTGCAGATAATTGATGAGAAATCGCTTATAAAGAAATACCAAATGAAATTCGATTGTTAAAGGAGGAGCTAGAACATTTGAAGAGTGGCATTGTGGTAATTCCTCAGATAAAGGATAATACCGGAGGAGATGATATCTTTCTTCTTAAACAAAAGGTATACTTTTTGGTTTCTATTAAAATATTTGTGTTAATTTTAAACATCATTTGTGATTTGTGAAGTAGTGATTGTGTGATGTGTTGTAATTTGTAAAGCTAGAAGATGGTCAAATGAAGTTGCAATCAAGATTGGAGCAAGAAGAAGAAGCTAAAGCTGCTTTGTTAAGCCGAATACAAAGGTTGACCAAATTAATCTTAGTCTCCACAAAGTCAACTCCCGCCTCTAGATTTTCTCATCGCCCAAATTTACGAAGACGCCATTCCTTTGGTGAAGAAGAGGTAACTCAAGTTTCTTGATTTGTAGCCTCCTTAAATGTCATACATAACGATGGAATGGAATTACAAAAATAACCAATGTAATGGAATCAATCATTACATTCCATATTCCATTATCATGTTTGGTTGACTTGAATGAATGGAATGAGTCATTCAAACCATTTATTTGTTGTATGCTATTAACAAACATCATGTTTATGTTTTTCTAAAATCTAACTTCATTCAATTGCCAGCTGGCATATCTTCCGCATCGAAAACGTGACTTAATTTTGGAAGATGAAGACACTGAGTTATATGTTTCGCTTGATGGAAGTGTGGAAAATAATGAAAATGCATTGAAAGAAGAGAAAAAGACCAAAAAACCTGGATTACTTAACTGGTTGAAACCACGGGTCAGTCTCTTCTTTATTTGTTTGAATTTTGAAATCATTATTTATTTATTGATTATATTTTTTCTTTTATTAGAAACGAGACAGTATATCTGGGGCCAGTGATAAATCAAGTGGTGCAAAGTCTATGAGTACACCTTCAACTCCCCCAACAGATAATCATCTTCATAATCTTCCTATTGAATCCAGACATTCACACTCTTTACAAACAGAAACCAGATATTCTGAATTCTCATCAGGGGGCTAGATTAGATCAAGAAATTAACAATGAGGATACTTTTTTGCAACAAGAAAGTTGTCTAGTAAGCATTGTTTTTTCCTTCAATTTCTTTATCAATAATAGCAATGTGTAACAAATAAAGTGCATTACCTATTTATATTGGTAGCAAGAGTGAAGTATTCTTTGCAATTTACCTGTAGCAAATAGTATGTAGTTTTTTAGAACTATCTTTGTATGTGATTGACAGATCAGCATAAAGACAATTGACCAAATTGACCTCCTTAGAGAGCAGCAAAAGATTTTGTCTGAGGAGATTGCAATCCATTTAAGTGCTCTAAAGCGATTGTCACCTGAGGCTGCAAGCGAGAGGGAATTTATAAATGTAATAACTCAATTTTTTATTAAAAAAAATACAATTAATATTTTATTTATATACTTATTAAAATCATTACATGATATGACAGGTGGAGATTAACCGATTAAATGAACAAATCGAACTGAAAAATGATCAAATTAAACTCCTCCAAGACAAAATTGCTAATCCTGTTGATGAAGTTGAAAAAACACGAGTAAGTCTGAAATTACATGTATATCTTATTCTCTTTCCTTTCCTCTATTTATAATATTTTAATTTAATTTTGTAATTCCAAAATTCTTAAATGCAGCCTGTTTCTGAACTAGAACTAGAAGCACAACTAAACGAGAAGTCCTTTCAGCTTGAGGTATCTTATCATTATGAAAGAAGACATTGACACATTTACCCCTGTGTATATAATTAATGAATTTGTAAGTTGTAACCTATTTTTCAATGTCATTTTCCAGGTCAAATCTGGGGATAATCGAGTACTTCAAGAGCAGCTCAGCGAAAAGGTAAGAAACAAATGTCAATATATTTCCTAAATATTAATGATTTTTCTTGCTTATATTTTTCTGTTGTTTATTTTTCCAGATTAATGATTGTGAAGAACTGCAAAATACAATTAATTCCTTGAAAGAACAGCTTTCTGAAATTAATCCTGAGAAAAATGAAAAAACAACTTTGCTTTGTGAAGCTCAGGTTTGTTCCCATTTTACTGTTTATTTTTTACTAATTAGAAAAAATTTACGTTCACAAATATTTTTCAAGAGTTTTAACCTCTCAAACTTTAATTTTTATTTTTGTGAAATCGGATAACTATTAACTTTGTAAATACTATTGTCTTGAATATGATTATAGAACTATAGCATTAAAAAAAAGAGTAGGGGTATCATAAAAAACCAAAACCGAATAACCAAACCGAACCAAATGACGTTTGGTTTATTTGGTTCGGGTTATTTGGTTTTCGGTTAATTTGGTTTGGTTAACCGTATAATGATACCTTATTCGGTTTAGTTTTTGGTTAAATTTTCATTGTTTTGGTTAAACCGAAAAAACCGAATAAGCTAATATATATTATATATATATATATATATATATATCTATATATTATATATATATATAAAAATCTATTGATTAGTTTACTAAGATTTATGACTTTTTAGTTATTAACCATTATAAAGTTATAATTGTTTTATATTTTGTATTAAAAAGCAAAAACTAATTAACCAAATAACCTTTAGTCGTTTCTTTCATTTTCATATACGATTAAAATTATATTAACCTATCTCTACAATTTGAATATAATATTTTATATATTAATGGAGTTTCTTTATTTGGTAATAGTTTGTTTAGTAAGTTTTTTTTTTCTTTTAGTTTAATATTTATTTTTACGTGCTGAATTTTATTCGGTTTAACCGTTAAACCGAACCGAATAAACCATAACCGAATAAACTGAAACCGATTAAACCGAACCTTATTTGGTTTGGTTATGGTTAGATTTAAAATTTAAAAAAACCGATAAAACCGAACCGTTGAAACCGAAAACCGAAAAACCAAACCGAATAACACCCATAAAAAAGAGTAAATTACATTTTTGGTCCTGAGTATAGCTGAATTTTTCAAAATTTTGTTCTAAAAACTTTATTCTTGCAATTTTTGTCCTTATTTGAGGTTTTGGTCCCTCTTCCAAGTAAAATTGCAAAAATCAGTTGTACTCGAGAACCAAAAATGTTACAAGAACCTCAAATAAAAGACTCTTAAAAATAATACTATACTATTCAATTTAAAAAAATGTGTTTGGCTATTTTTAGTCTTTTCATAAATAATTACAAAAAATTGGGTTCACTTCAGGTTTCTAGTTTTGTAAATAAAAATAAAAGAAAAAAAGTAAACAAGTTTCATAAAATTTGAAACTTGGTTACTATTATTTAATGATATAAAGCAGTGTGTGAAGTGAAGTAAAGGTATTTGTTGTCTAAAATCAGGCACTCGAGATCGAAGAACTAAAACACAAAGTGAGTGAGTTGACCGAGTCAAACGAGCAGTTACAAAGCCGTAACAAAAAACTAGCAGAAGACAGCTCATACGCAAAAGGCTTAGCCTCAGCAGCAGCAGTGGAACTGAAAGCCCTATCAGAAGAAGTTGCAAAACTCATGAACCACAACGAGAAACTATCAGCCGAGTTGGCGTCACACAAGAACTCCCCGCTCCAGCGCAGCAGACCAATGGGGTCCACCAAGAACGGACATGGTCGTAAAGATCACATCACCAATAATTTCAGACAGAAAGAAGTGCATAATAATAATAATAATAATAATAATAATAATACACAAGTGGAATTGAAAAGAGAGCTTGCGTTGAGTAGGGAAAGGGAATTGAATTACGAAGCAGTGTTGTCTGAAAAGGATGAGAGGGAACTGGAATTGCAACGAACGGTTGAGGAATCCAAACAGAGGGAAGCGTATCTTGAAAATGAGTTGGCCAATATGTGGATTCTTGTGGCCAAGTTGAAGAAAGGGGAATCCGAGGAGTCCAGTGGGGGGGATGGGTTTGAGTCTGAGAGGTGGAATGGAATTGGGGAAAGAAAGGAATTTGTATGAGTAATTTCAAATTTGTGTGTAATGGGAATGGGAGGGTTAGATGGTAGTTTCTAGTATTTCGGGTTAGGAATTGGGATTCGTGTGTTGCGTGTTGTGTGTTGTGTAAAGATGGACTTTTTTTTTTCCTAGGATTGTACAAATCTTTGTTATAAAATGAAAGACATAATTATCTTATATTATTAGTATTACATATATTCATTTATTAGAATAATCTGTTACATGATTTATGTATTAAAATTACTTAATTTATTATGTTAATTTGTAACTATTTAAAGTAAAATATATTTTGCAATCTTATTTTTCGATGTCTAAAGTCTAAATTATCTTAAGATTAGTTTGTTAAGTTAAATATTCTTTTATCCCTTAAGGTGGACACATCTCCAACTTAGGGGATCCATCACTAATTCATGGGTTGATGCTTCATGAAGTACTACCTTATGACCAATTATCTTACGTCAATGGTTGCGATGTTCTATTGAGGGGTTCAAGTTGTTTCGACAACTCGCGTGTTGGTTGGTAACTAGATTCAGGTTCGGTCCTTTTCCAGATTTAAAAAAGGATCTGAAGCTTGTTCCATCGATAATCAGATAATGTATGTTCGCACAATACTAACTTTCGGTTGGCATTATCACAAGATAAAATCGTAAGGGCCAAGCCATGTAATAACTTGAAACATGAGGACTATTCTCAACAGTCGAAAATTAAGGATTAAATATAAGACATTTTCTAAGCCATAAAGACCTTTTATGCATTTTGTCTTTTAAAAATTGTTACATTTTCGGTGAACGCAAACTCCAATCGTATTTAACATAATCTCATTGTCACAGGCCAATCATAACTGGGGCCACCTAAACCAAAGTTGTTGTTAGTGTAACAACCCTAAAAATTTGAATTAAGTCGTGTGTGTGTGTGTGTATATATATATAAGGTTAGGTTCATATGAGACAATAGTATTTTGTGAGACAAGGAGACCAAATCTTGACCACTCATCTTGAATAATCAAATGTTGAAATTAAATCAGATTAACCACAAGGAACTACAAGTAGGTGGTGACATTTTTGTAATTAAACGGAACTTCGGGATTAGAATAAGGCACAGAGGGGCAGTAATGGAATTTTACATTCTATTTCATTCAGCTCACAAAAAACACTCAATGTTCTTCTAAATCTTCTTCATTCTGATTCATAAAACCCTAACCTCGATACGAACACTAAAACACGTTTGATTCAATCTCGATCATCAACATCTTATGTTTCCTTCAGATTCGAATTTAAATCCTCCGATTTTATCTACCTTTCATTCTGATTTTGATTCTGAAATCGCTTGAGCATAAATTGTTCCTGAATCAAAAGAAATCCAAATTTATTATTCGAACAAATGGATGCAGAATCGGATTCAACTTAAGTCATTTCAATTAATGTATAATAGTATAATTTATATGCATCATGATTCAAACCTTTCTTCGTTTTTCTCACGCACAAGACCCTCCGCCTCGATAAACACTAAAAATCTTTTTTTTCCTGATCTACAGTCTCAATTGAAGAACTGGTAAATCGAGATTAAGTTTTTCTTTCAACCATCAAATTCCTCTCATGCTTGAACATTGTGATTACCCTTATTCTGATTACATTAGAGATTTGCGACTGAAGAACCCTAAAAATCCTCTTATTCACTCTGATTCATATTTTCAACTTTGTGATTCTGATTATGTTCCCTAATCAAGCTTTTAATCACCTAGCATTACAGAATCAAAGAAATCGGATCTAGATCTCAAGAATGCTTGGTTCAACATAATCAGATTCAGGTTTTAATTCTCATATAATATCTCTTTTTTTACTTCACTTCATATCTACTCCAAATAACTAGAATTTTCTTTTTTTTTTCTGTGTAAATGAAGTCAAAGGAAATGTGAATAAACCATGATATATCTTTTTGTATATAACTTTCTTTAAATTTTGAAATTTGAATGTTTAATATTCTACTGATTCTATGAATTTGTAATGAGAATGCATAATATTCTATATATTTTAGTATCATATTCTACATATCTACACCAATTAAACACCTTGTAATCCTACATTAACCTTGCACTTCCATGAAGTACAATATGCTAGATATTTTTAAAATATGATATCTGATATTATATCTATAATAATAAAATGTAATGTGGAATTATAGTTATACTATTCTACATATATTAATATAATATATTATATATTTTGCATATTTTTTTGTGGAATGTGCAATATTTTGCATATGTTAGTATAATATTATCTATATTCTGAATATGTATTCTTGTTCCTTAACTCTTTCTCCCAATTTGTCATGTACATAATAGTCCTTTGCTAAACAGGTTGCGAACTGATGATTAATTTCTAAAATCTTCAATGAATTGAATGTGTGATAGCATATTCTACATATTTGCACCAGTTAAAGTCTTGAATTTCTATATAAACCTTGAACTTCCACGCAGTACGGAATCCTATATATTTCAAAGTATAAATTGTTATTACATGATAGTCTAATAAGTCATAATGTACTTCTTAATTTGATCCAAATGTTACTTTGTTTGATTATTTCGAGGATCGAGTAAAAATATTAGTAAAATAGTGTTTGGTAACTTAATATTCTAGGTATTCTGATTTGTTAAGTTAGGTGTTACTTCATAAATTTGGTTTCAGATGTTATTTTATTGATTAATCAGATGTTACTGTTTACTTTGATAAATCAAAACTAATTCATACACCAATGACTTTATTGTGTAAAGTTAATCTCTATTTGTAGAACAATTTAATATTCTATATTTTCTTTTATCATAACTTGATGTATTATTCAAAGAATAGTTCTTTATACTTTATTAGGAGAATGAATGATATTGATTATTATTAAAATGAAGTATATGGTTAATAATGTTAATATTAAAATATACTAGATTTTATTTTATCATAACTTTATGTATAATTCAAAGAAAAGTTCTTTATATTTTATTTGGAGAGTCTATGATGTTGATTATTATTATAATGTAGTTTACGCTTTATAATAACAATATTCTAGTTTTTGTCAAGTATTTAATAAACAAATTCATGTATTATTCTGGTTTATGGTATTTAGTGTGAATATTATAGTATTTTGTTCTAATAGAAGCATTGTATATGTTTTGATGCATATCAAGTGATAAGAATGACTCAATCAAGAGCAAAATATGTTTTTAATTTGATACTAAAATTAAGAAAACAATGATAGTTCAAGTGATAGATCTTTATCAGAACGTGAAATAAAGGACAATATATAACATTAAACACATTAATGTATATGGATATTTGACATAAATACTCTAAGTTAACATATTATTAAGTGTTATATTCTTCTTTTCACGATGTTGATTATTCTTAGAATGTACATATTTTTTTATTTGATTTTATATTAGGTTATGAAAATAATGCATTGTTTTAGTTTTTTTGTTTTAATAAAGTTATGATATATGTTTTAATGCAGATAAAAATAAGAAGAAAAAAATATTGAAGAACCTAAATAATTTGGAAATCTTGATAAAGAAACTTGGTATAAGTTGAAGAGGGAAGAGATTGATGGAAAAGAAAGCATAAGAAGGTATCCAAAAATAGAATTGATGGAAGTTTGGAAATGTGTGGCGGTGAATGAAATTCTTAGAATGTTACAAAACGTTTGATTTTTGTTATTACTTGACTGTAGTTTGTATATTCTGGGTATTTTGTTCTGATAAATATTTGTTTACATTGATTTTACTTTTCATGATGCAGCCAATTGGATGGTAACCTACATAGAAACTAATTGAAGAAGCTAAGGAGTTTGCAAAATCTGACCGACTAAATCATCTTAACCTAGTATAGGAAGCGATGCAGTGAAATGAAGATTGTTGATCGAATTGATAAAATATTTGCAAGAATTTAATGGTTAATGAATTTGGAGTCTTTTTCTCTTTGAATATTGGCTATATTTTCTATATTGTGATTAACATGTAATGTTTGGTAAATAATAGTCATGGTTTGAATGTTTGAAAATTGGTGAATATTTCATAAAACAATATTGTGGTTGAACAATAGTTATGTTTTAAATGATAATACATGTAATTTTGTAGTTTATGTCGTGTAATGGTAGTAATATCTTTCACATATTAGACGAGTTTAAAATTAAAGTCTCTATGTAAAATATTCCATGAGAATAATAATTGTATGTTTTATGTTATAATAAGTATATGTATAATATTCTAATAGAATAATTTTATATGTTGTTTGTTATCGTCAATTTGTTTATGTCTTTTTTAGAATTTAAGTCACTATTCAAGGTAAATTTTATAAGTAGAGTGTATGATGTTTAAAATCATTAGAATGTTGTAGTTTACGATGTATGATGTTTATAATCTAATAAAATAAAGTTATAAGTTTTTATAATCTATATGTAGAATACTTTAATAGAATAATATTCTGTGACATTCTAAGTTATATGCAAGATATTCTAATACAACAATGTTTAATTAAATTTTGGCTTTTTTAATACTCAATGATATGATATTAATCTACTTATTCAAAATATTCAATATTTTTATAATGTGTTGTTAATATATAATATTATGAAGTTATTTGTAATATTATGAAATTTAAGCGTAGTATTCTAAAATTATGTTGTAATGTGTACAATTAACTTACATTATGGAAGATTCTAATATCATATGTAATATTCTGAATTTACAATTTATAGTGTTATAGCAATATATATAATATTCTATTGAAAAAAAATTGATTTATAGAAAATAAAAGTTTATAACGTTAATGTGTAATAATCTGAAAGATTGTAATATGATGTAATATTATATTATAGATGAATTATTCTAATTCAGACCATCATTCCCTTCAATGTGTAGGAAACCAAATAATATGTAGGAACCTAGACTAATAAACTTTTTAAACGAGTGAGAAACATTTAAGTTTATAAAATGAAATGAATACTTTTAGGATAAATATCAAACTTTTCTCTGGAAGTTGAAACATATTCTAAAAACCTCATAGATTAAAAACCAAATTTCAAGTTTGCATTATAAAAAATATATCACAAGGTTACAGTATTTAATAATATGTTGTTAATTGATATGTAATATTATGAAATTGTATGGAATATTCTGATATTAAAGTGTAATATTCTAAATTGTGTTATAA